ACTTTCACAAACATGTGGTCCTCTCTGTCACCATTAAATATAATTCATTGAAATACAACATGACAAACACACCACACTCCATTTACTTCCAAATACAGACTATCACATGCCAAGATTCAATTTTACTATAAAACAGTAAAAAGAAAGAAAAAACTCACGATACATCGGAGGAGGTAAATTTATGTGCATTTTTTGTCTCATGAAACCCATTTCTGAAAGCCTTCAACAGGTCCGTCTTCTATGGCTTGTTACTGTATGTATCTTCTTTGCCAGATTTTCAGCGTGTGCGAAATTGAAGAGACGAATTCAGGAACTAGGGTTCTAGGGTTCACGCCAGAAGAAAAAATGAAGTGGCCGAATTTGTCAATTTTGGGACATTTCCCCAATTTTATTGGTTTTTCCCGCCCCTCTGTGCCTCGTCATCTGCCAAGAAGGATTTAGTAGCCATGTCATCGGCCACGCTGTTAATTGATCGGCCAGGTGTGATATTGTGAAGCCACGTCGGCAGCTCAGGGCCGGAAAAGGCATCGGAGACCACAATTGTCCTGCTTTTGATGGATTTTAAAAAGATAGTGGACCAATTTTGGGAAACACCATTCTATTGGGACCAAAAGTGGAAAACCTGATTGTTGTGGGACTACTTTTGAAATTTTCCCCAAGATATGATATACCATCAACATCTAAAAACCAGAATGTATAAATTTATATGATAATCGTACAAAGTATGAAATGATTGCTATGATGAGTATATGGAAACTGCGTTGTACACTTTTTTCCTTGGTTGAGCTTTTGTCCCCTTGAATTTTCTCAGCAAGGTTTTTAATGAGGCAACATAGATGGTGTTTTCAAATGAAATGTGTACTCTTTTTCCTTCTTTAGGATTTGTCCCACTGGTTTTGCCTATTAAGGTTTTAACAAGGCATGTTCATAGTATAATGAGGACTACATGATAAATGATACATTCCTCATTATGATAAGAAAACAATGGAGTAGTTGTACTCCTTTTTCTTCAATCATGTTCTTTCTCATTAGGTTTTCTTGACAAGGTTTTGATGAGGCAACACGTAAATAAGCACTAAAGAGAAGGCCATATTATGCTTCCACAATGCTTAGGTGTTGCCCTACTAGGTTTTTCTGAGATGCTGAAGCAGTGTTTTCTGGTGACCACAAGCTACACTTCAAGGTGTTTGGATTGAGGTTTGTTTCAATTGATTTGGATATGTTTAGGAAATAGTCATTCAATATGGGAGGGTTGTAAAATGTCTCATGTATGAATGACTAGTTTACCCTTATTACAATTGTATTATTACTATTGTGTTATTTGAAGTTTTTCGATAAATATGATGGAGATGAGGGTCAATTTTATGAATTAAAAATACTGCCTCAAAATTTTATCTCTTGTGATCCCTTTCGCTGCATCAGTAGGTATCCAAAGACCTCAACCATTCACGATGTCGCTGAAGAGAAACGATACTGCAGACGACAGTCATGACGCCGCCATTAAAGCGTTGGACCGACAAGTCACGGATCTGACCGTGGGCTTCTGTCGTCAAATTGCACATCTGATAGCGGGGATCGAGGACTTCTAGTTGGCTCTACGTACTGCTTCCATGGCAAGTAAATGAACCGCGCGCTGGACGGAGGATGTGGTGGCCGTGGGGAAATGAAAGGTAGACGCAATTGAGGCACACGCAGGGCGCCCCGCTCCTGATTGCCTCAAATGTTTGTCGATGACATCACCATATCCGAGATACGTCTTTTTGGTAACATGGCGCCAAGGGACGAGGACTACTTCGCCGACAATCGACGATGGGAGGCTTC